GGTTAATTGATAAATCTGAGGTCCCGAGTAGGAAGGAGTGTGGCAAGGGGGGAATGTTTTACGGCTGTGCAAATGAAGGGGCTGCAGAGTTTTACACACGCTGTAAAATGGATATGGAGAATTAGCGTTCCTTATTTCTCGCCGCAGAAACATGGGCGCTAATGTAATAGAGCTGGATGGATGAGTTGACGTGACACATAGGGAATAAATATGCATACAGACACATAAAAGGCGGACACATGAGTTTGTGCATTTGCTGCCTGTGACTCCTGATTCCATTGTCTCTACTTGTGACCTGTCTCAGTTCAGGTCATAATTGCTAATGAATGCTGTTCCCAATAAATAGATCCCCCATACATCAATTGTATGCATCAGGGTGATACGCTACCGCTGAGGCCACTAAAAGCGAGCACTATGTGTGTGTATGTATGCAGACACACTTTTCCTTTCCCTGTTGCCTGAAGCTTTGCAGCCACAATATAATAATAATAAGGCGTAACTAGAGTAGCTGGAAGGAGGCAATGGCGTGTGTGCGTAAGAAGGGGTGTGTGTCTAAACGTGTGCCGTGGCAAGAGAAGGTAACAAGGACAATACTGGGGCAACATCAAAGTGTGTATGTAGGTGGGCTGTCGGCAGCGGTCTGCGTGTATGCATGTATTCATGTATATGCATGTGTATATGTCTATGCGCATGTGATCAGGAGAGAAGGGAAATGTGTGTTCTGGTGTGTATCAGTGTGTGTTGGTTCTGATCAGATGCTAGCTTTGGAAAGTTGTGATGGACGTCAGTCTAATGCAAAGGGAAGGAAGGGCTTGAAGCACAGACAGACACAGACGTGACCACTCACTGTAGTGAACTTGATTAGCACGTAGCCTCCTAATTAGCCATCCTCGATGGTTACAGGCAGAACCGCTGGTGACATGGCTAATAACACAACCACAAAATTAGCATAAACAGGGAGGGTTTTCCCATATCTGCATTTGAAATTAGTCAGTGCTGCTGCATTTAGCTGCTGCAGAATTTATAAAACCCTTTATAGCATTTTATCTTACAATGAACATTACAGTATTGGCAAGTTTGAACTTTCCAACTTCGAGCCGTTTAGGCACTCAGAAAACCTCACCTTTTGTACGATTCTTTTAGCCTGAACTGATGTGATTTACAAGGAAATAACAATAAAGTAAACAACATCAAGTGCACACAATAAGACAATATAACACAATAAGTGTCCTGTTGCAGCGTTTTTCTCTGTTTTCACACATAAACCTGTATTTGATGGTCTCTACTCAACATGCACTCAGTATGTTTCAATGTGTCTTCCTCATTACCAGTTTAATCTACTTACAACCAATTACATTAAATCAATAGCAAATAAGGACATGTTTGTTTTGCTTGCTTTTACCCACACATTCAATTAGTCTCTTTTTCACTTTGTTTCTCCTTAAATGTTATTTTTTTAAACTAATCATCTACGTCCACATGCCACCTTGGTTTCGGAGCACCACTATGACTGTATGACAGGGTTACATCACAAAACAGTAAGGTCTGCTCTAAGACTCTGAAGAAGGGCTTTGAGATAAGACGTTAATCTAAATAAATAAATTACTAAGCTGTAGGAGAGGGTATGTTGTATATGAAGTTGTGCAGCCAGGGTAGAGGCACATATAGGTCAGAAAAGGGGCAGCCTTTACACAGCAACCCTTGGCCTTGAAACAGGGCACTGAACTCCTGGAGAGGTGGGGACTGGCATCCATGTAATTATGTGTGGATGCGTGTGTGTGTCCTGATAGGCTTGGCCACATTTACACTGACAGACTTTCTTACTGTGACCCAGATGGCTAAGGTAAATAAGGGTCCAGGAGTCATGGGCTATTTCTAGGGCTTGGTTTGGACTGGGGATGATGTGTACATTCTGCCAAGAGCTGTGATGGTCAAGCCAAAGAAATGTGGTCTGGAAATAGGGAAGAAAAAAAAAAAACTGGGCTATGTTAATGATAAGGCTTCAGGCTGTGTAGAGAAGCTGAAGCAAGGCTTAGTATGATGATTACAAGCAGGGCTAGGTAATGTGGCAGAGACTGGGTGAGAGGGCTATGGCTAGGGTTTGAAAATAATTAGGAGCATGGCTGGATAACATAGCTAGATAATGTGGCTGGGGGGAGGCTCGCTAGGCACGGTATGAAGATGATGAGTACCAGGGTTGAGCTGTCCACTCCACTGGCACTGTGAGCTGTGACAAGAAGCTCTGCTGGCTGCTGCTGTAGCTGGGGGTGATGCCAATGATAGGACTAATGCACTAATTACCACAGAGTGAGAGGAGAAAGAGAGAGTAAACAGAGGTAGAGAGATACAGAGAGACGAAAGGGGAAAAAATCAAAGGTCTGATGAGCCGTGAGTGACAGCAGCGTGACAGGACTGGGCTGAGGACAGGGACCTCTGTCTTAATAGTCTTCTTCAACATCCTACACAGCAGAGTCACATTAAAGGGAGGAAAAGTTTAGCGAGCGTTCCATTATAAACAACAGATGACAGGAAACAGCCATATGTGTTTCAACACGCTGGGAGGGAGGTAGCTAGGTAGGTAGGTCTAACAGTTGGTCTGTTTCTTCCTTCCCTGAACTAGCACAGCACCCCATGTTAGTGCTTTAACTCTGATGTCTTCAATCTGCGACAACAATCTAAAATCTTTGATGATGTCAGCTAAAGGCCTGCTGGGGATACCGTTGTGAAGACGTTACAGCAAATAACTTTTAGCCAAAATATGAGCACTGATTATCCAAATGCCTTTAAACTGGACTCTGCATTTCCTTGGGTGTCCAACAATGCATGTCGAGAAAGGTGAAAAACACACAGACATTTACACATATTTACTTACTAACTTAGCCAGCATAGCACACTTCTATTGTGTTGCACTTTTTGACCACTAGTGGTGATGTAGAGGAATGTTTTCGTAAGCAGATTCTGCTATTGTTTGTGGTTTATGCACCATCAAAAAGTCCATGCACACCATGAGCATGTGGGGTAGCGTATCAGAATCAACCTAGAGTAAGAATAACCCCATAGAATAGAATAGAACAGAATAGAATAGAATAGAATAGAATAGAAATACTTTATTTATCCCCAAGGGGAAATTTTGTTGTTACAGCACAACTATAAAGTTACCACCACCATCAATACAGATAAATAAGCAAAAATAAACAATTAGAAATAGAAAATGCAAAATGCACAATAAGCGTAATACTGTCAAGTAGAACTATTATACCGTCCAGTGATTACATGCTTTTAGTTTGGTCGCAAACAGGGCTCGAAGATGGATGATGCTCTCAATTGCATGGGGTGCCCAAACAGTCATGTAATTTTTTTTCTGAAATTCTTTTCTGTTCCCTTGCAATATTTTGGCATTATCTTACATTGAGTTCTTTCTTGATTTTTGCATTCTCCCTGATCAATAGGAATCATTACCTTGTTGGTCCACTCCAGGTATAACACAAGACCATTTCAGGGAAATGTTGTGAACATGGTATAAAAAGAATATATGATGTGACACTTTAAATTATGTATTTATTGATTATTGCTCCTTTCCAAAGGCCAAGCTGTGAGCCTATACAGCTGTAGCTGCTCTGCCGGGCTGTACTTCTTGAAGCTATGGCTGTGGATATAGTTACTGCGTGGACTTGGGCTGCATTTGACATTGAATTTATGACACGTTAGCCGTGAATGAATCAGACATGAGGCATCAGAACCAGCAGTGCATCAGACATGACAGATGTTCTAGCAACACTAAAGGATTTCAGGAATAGGAAGCACAATTATGTCAATTCAGTGTAGAGAGCTCTGTTAACTATTGAGATCTACGTAGCCGCAATGACACAGATTTGCTGCTGAGGGTGCACCCATGCTGTGGCGGTAGTCAGCTACTTAATGTACACAACGACATCATAAATAATACTATCATGAAGCTCAACATTCCTCTGCTGATCATAGGGAATGTAAAATATTGCAAGGGAACACAAAACTTGATGTGTGTGAACTCAAAATTTATTGCGAGGAAACTCAAAAGTAGTTCATAAAAAAAAATTCCCACCGCGACCCCTTCAGGGGCTTTGTGGACTTTCAATGCCATGTGAATGTCTGTGTGTAGGGTGGGACTGCAGGGTGATTACTAATCTTAATGGGAAACTACATTATCCTTGATTGCATTAATTTTGGTGGTGCCACTGAAAATCTTAATTTACCACACATGCTTTCCAACCTTGCCACCAACGCTGTACTTTACAAACAACAAATGATGCGATTTTTGTAAAATGTACCAAGCAAAACTGATCTTATTCCCCCAGCCTCTGTTGTCAGCTGGAGGAGACCCCATTCACCCGCCCACTCACTCCCCATACTTATTTATCTCCACTTCCTGGGGCCGTGTTAGTTCATTCCCCTGTCGCTGCTCTCTCCTTCTTCCCTTGCTCCTCTCTCTCTCTCTCTCTTGTTTCACTCCTCGTTTCCGGGCAATTGGGTCTGGGTGCTGGTGGTGGGGAGTGAGGGGTTGGGGTGGAGCTGCTGGGAACTTTGTATGTGTGTGTGTGTGTGCGCGCGCGTATGTGAGTGTGTGTGCTGGGAAGTGAGCTAATAAAGGACGGTGATCCATGAAAGGCCTTGAGCAAAGACACAGTCAATTACCTAATGCCTGGACCAGACCGCAGGGCCCATGCACACACACATTCTCTCCCTAACATACTCACACACACACCCATGCATACACCTCATTTACGTATACGTGGAGAGGGGGCAATGGAGGGCATAGCTGGGAATTGTGTGTATGTGTGTGGGTGGGGGTACATATGCGTGTGATGGGGAGCGGCGATTTATTAAATTGCTGTCACTTTTGACAAATTTGTGCAACACAAGTTGAAAGGTTTAGGCCGCACCGCTTCTCCGTTTTTCATCTTTTCTTTGAGGGGTGAATTATACCTTTCAGATCAAACCCCGGCAAACACTAAACCACGTCTCTATGCATGCGCGTGGAAGCTGGTGTCTGAGGTGGCTTCATGACTGAGCTCCAGACCTGGGTTTAACACCTGACATTGATTGACTTTGATGTGAACCGGTGAAAACAGATATACAGCAGATACTTAAGGTAAGTTTCCTCCCTTTAAACCAAAGATAACAACCTATCTGTGAATGTCAGTGAATCATTTTTACCTGCACCTTTATGCCGTATTTCAATCTTGCATTTATTCTTATATTTGTTCTTTCTTCTGAAGCTCTTGCTGGTGTAGGCTGGCTGAGTGAAGGAACTGCTGCTGTGGCTCCCACGGTGGAGCATACCTCCTGTTCCTCTGGTTGTCAAACAGCAAGAAACAACAAAGAGTGAAGTGTTACACAGGTTGCGTATTAGCAGAGAGTATTTTACAGTAAATGTCAGTAACAGTAATTGACTGGTCATGAATCCATAAACACAGAAAAGGTAGCAACCCAAAAAACAAGGCAAGGCACAAAGGAAAACCAGGAAAACAAACAATCCTTGTCTATTTTGTGTTTAGTCATTTGATTGCATTGGGACAAAAGAGTGAAGAACGTTGGCGAGGCAAAAAAAAAAATTGGGTGGTCTTTAATACTGTAGTCAAGGAAATTATTGCGTTAGACAGATCAAACACAGGGTTAATAACAGTACTTCACACTCACACGCATACGGCTGAGTAGATTAGCCTGTGAGTGGTAATGAGTTTATAGTCAAGTGTTTTAGCAAAGACACACACACACACACACACACACACGCGATTCCTAATTAAAACTAATACAAGCTTTGAATTAAAGCAGGAAGCGACTGCAACACTGTTTTGAATAAATCCAGTCTGAGGCATTCTTAAAGTAACCTCCTGGTACACACCTATGCATTTTAATAAGTCAGAATAAAACATGTTATTAATTTATTCAGGACTGTGTTGCTTGCACCCACCTACACATCGCCGCAGATCACGGATACCCCTCTTTGGCAATCGTGCCTCCTGATGGCAGCGGCCTCCTCGAGCAGGACAGTGCACCCTGCCGCACCATAAAGACTGTTCAGGAATGTCTCGAGGAACACAACAAAGAGCCCAAGGTCTTGATCCAAGCCTTATCCACAACGCGTATACACCAAGAAGTCCCACGTCTTTGCCCCCGTGGGTCAAAGCTGTTTTGGTGGCCCAAGGTAAATGATAAATGGTAAAAAAAAATAAAATTCTGGTTTCTACCTTGGTGCAATACAGTGTTTCTCATTCATGCACACACCAATGGCGACAGAGCTGACATGCAAGGTGTTCGCTTGCAATAGAGAGCAACTTCGGGTTTACTTCAGCGTGCAAAGATCATACCGCCAACCTTGTGATTAGTGGATAACCTGCTCTACCACCTAAGCCATAGCTGCCCAAGAGGGACTTACACACTATTAGGCAGGTGGCTTTAATGTTGTGGCTGCTCCAATATATATGAGAAGACTTTTGTAGCATGACTGTGTGTGAGTCTGTTGTTGTGTTTGTATATGATATGTGTTTCTGGGGGACTCTTACGGTCTCTTTTTGCTGTAGCTGATTCTGGGCCTCCTCCAGGTGTGTGTAAGAGGTCTGCAGACACAACATTAGGTCAGGACATTGCACGCGCTGCTCCCACACTTCTCCTGGCTCTCTGTACAGACCCTGGAAATGCCACCAACACAAGGAGAGACAGAGAAGCAGTCAGAAAATGATCACTACACTTTCGGTTACAGTCCCCAATCTCCTAAAAACACAGACCACTTCTCTTTATCACTACTTCTGACAAAAATACCAAGAAAGATGCAGAGAAAGAGAAAGAAAAGCTCAAAGTAAATCACATCAGTCGTAAAAACAAGAAGTTAGTGTCAACTGAGAGGAATGGAGATGGAGGAGGAGCCATGAAGAGTGAGTACTACACTAAGATTATTAAACTAAAAGAATAAAGAAAATTATTTTTAAAACATTGTAAATTACAGAATGCTTTAAGAATCATTTTCAAGACAACAAAATAAAGAGAATACAAGTTATACTATGGCTACACAGACAATGCCTGTAACTGGTTCAACTCAGTGGTTTTGGATGTTTCTGGTGATTTGTTTATTAAAAACATACAAACATAAAGAAACTCCATCATAAATTTTATCTTTCAGTTCTTCAAATGCAGATGCATAAAAAATACAAAGCCTTCTTCTGCTTTGACTTAATGAATCCAAAAGATACTTCACACAGATTTTAGGGACTGAAGCTCACGAACAAGTCAGCTTAACTGTAAACAGCTCTCTGTCATTTTATTCTTTCTACATCTTCTTGACATTGGTGCTCCTTCCCTGGAGTGATGGGTTTCTGATGTCAACTGATATATCAAATTTGCAAAGACAAAGAAAAGTCGCTTTTAGCAACAAGTTTCTGTGCCTCTCGCTGCCTAACCTCACATCCCCCTTACATTCCCTTAAGACTTTGTCATGCTTGTCACACTATTACTATTTACTACTGAGGACACGTAACGCATGTGAAACATATTCAACACAATAGTTACTGCCATAAAGCTGAAAGCTGAAAAAACTCAAACCTAAATTGTTGAAATATATTTTAGAAGTCAACTATTATCATTTCTAAAACTATTTTTTAAACAAGTCAAGGAACGCTGAGGACATTAGACTTGGAAGAATAACAAAAATACAATTTTTCAACCACAATCACTCATAGTTGTTTTAAACAAATACCAGAAATGCTGTTTTCACAGTTCATTAGCAGCCACAGCATGAAATGTTAAAACTCCTACATGCAAAGACATTTTTCAGTTCCAAATATGAACAAATATTTAAACATTTTCATCACGTGAAGAAGAATCTTAATCCCAAGGAACCTCTGAAAAAATACATGCAGTTTTCTGAGAGTGATGTGTAAACTTTTGGGCTCTGCAGATTAACTTAAATGTTGTTGCTTTGTTTAAGGTGACCTTCAGTTGTTGTTTGGTGTTAAAAAAGGAGGGAGCATGAGGGGGAGCGATAGAGGGAGGGACAGGGACCCTGTCCTTGCTCCTATCGCCACGGGATCAGTGGCCTGGCCTGACCACTTCCACAGCCAGCACCTCAACCTTATCCATCACCACTAGATAGTTATCACACCAGGGATGGAGGGGTGTGGGGTGTTGGGGTGAGTGTGAAAGAAAGGAAGGGGTACTTCCTGCACTAATGACACACTCAAACACACATAAAGAAGAGACACACAGGCAGGCATAGACACAGAAATGCACACAGATATAAGTACAGATAAATAAGGTATTCTTCTTCATATTAGTACTACAGACTTTCCTGACACCAATAATGAATTCAACTCCACAGCAGCCAGCTGGAGACGCGTCTGTGTGTGTATGTATGTGTGTCAAGTGGCTAATAAAATGAAACAAATCCACGGCTCATTTCTGCTCACTTATGTTTTACATTACTAGAAACTAATAATAGGGAAAGCACTTTGCCATAAAGAGCTACAGAGCGTAAATAACACAAATGGTGAAACGGCTCCTCATCAAATGAACAACATACACACACATGCACACATAAGAACAGAGAAGTATGCACGACATATAGCCACCAACGCACAGCTGGATTACACATAGCATACGATAAAGTCTTAAAGAAATGTTCAATTAGCCATAGTTCAGCTGTTGCACTGCTTTAAAGCACCCTTCATTAATAGTTTCAGTGTTACCACTGTATTAATATAGCCCACGTTTTGACTGGTCACAGTCAAAGCTGTTACACATAATGAACAAATGGTTCATGATTAAAGGTAAAACAATGAAACACTGTCACTGTTCTATTCAAAAGTCTCAATAAGGACCCTGAACCTGAAGCTACCTAATGGAAACTGAGCCATCATCTGTGCTTTTCACACTGTGACATGTCAAAATGTCTTTCATGAAAAATTCTTATTTAATCTTGAACTTCTCGTTTAACGCTGATGGTGCATTCAGATCACTGCTTTAGTTTTACCATTTATAATAATTCCCAACAGGGTTTCCAACGATACCCAGAATGTGAAAGATGGACATAGTGACCATGATGTCACCCACTGGTTTTTGGACTATGGTTTTGAAGCCTGAAGTTTGACATTTGGTCATTGCCATCTTACTAATTTTGAAACCAGACATATAGAGCGAGCGGTGAATATGACTAAGAACTTGAGAATGCTACATACAACAATATTATATGGGGAATTGTCAATGACAAGGCTTTATAGTCTAGTTTACTCTAAGTGAAATTATACTTTACAAAATGAACATGGTGCTATATTAAAAAAGTCTTGATAATAGTAATTGAGACAATAAATCCATTAGGAAAATATTTATTGAGGAAACAAATCAAGGGAGAAGTTGGTTAATTTTCTTACAGATTTCTATGCAGTTAAACTTTTTGCGACCAGAGAAGATACCTTTCGCTGGCTCATAAAAAGAATACAGGTTTAAAGCACTTCTGTATTGGCTTTACCTTTCAGACCCAGAGGCTGTGCTATTATATTATTCTCACATAAGGTCTATGTTTCCAACCCCCCCAGCTTCTTGATAAGCAAAAAAGGTGAATACTGGACTGATACATGGTATTATGGTATCATGCTGGTGTGGAACATTAACAGAAGCTGTGCATGGGACCCACGTGTGATATACACACACTGAAATGCACAAACATTTGATAATAACACACAGACACACAGTCACATGTAGCACTCACTTAAATCCAGGCACTAAACGACCCTGTGCAGTAGCCCCCAAGAGAGCTGTCTGCCATGCTTTAATGATGCCATTCTTCTTTAAAAAGAGTTTTAAAGGATCTCTGCTTTCATCAAGAACCATCCCTCATGGGACTAGAAGGGGCTCTAATAATTAGTATGACACCTTTTTAAACTAATATTCACCTCTTGCGCATGCTCTAATCCCTTGTTTTTTTCCTCATTCTTCCACCTCCACTTTTCTTAGATTTATTATAGGTCTTCTAGAAATACGAGAAAACATGCTGGGTCAGAAATAAATGTAGAGCAATTCTAATTTTTGGTTAAATGTCCTTTGGCCATTTTCACCTCAGTTAGGCGCTTTTGGTACCCTTTCACATGCTTCTATCAAGCTTCGGGTTGTATCTTTGGCCTCTCCTCTTGACAGAATTGGTGCAGTTCAACTAAATTTGTTGTTTTCTGACACAGACTTATTTCTTCGGCACAGTCCACAGATACTCAACAGGGTAAAACATGTTTGACTGTAGACACTGTGTTCCAGCAGCTTTTATTTCATTGCAGACCTGCTTTTTGGTGATTCTCAGCTGACTCTTAGTCATCCTGACCAATTGTTTCTCAGCACCAGATGACAGCATTTTCTTCCTGATGGTGGCAGTGACACAACTGTACCAGGAACTTATACACTTACTTACCTCAGACTTTCCCAATGTAATCTTTGCTGCTGGGTCAAATTAGTGTATTAAATAGGCCCTGTTCAAATTTACTTAGAGAAGTCAGCAGCTGTAGTCAATCATAATCACTCACATGAAAGTAAAAGGTTATGCTATTAAGATCATTTGATTAACATAACTTTCGACATCAACAAAACTGGTCATTCAAGTTGCTGTATAATGTTTTTGATCCATATTTCCGGAGGACCTATCATAAATCCAAGAAAGAAATAAAATGCATGATTGGTTTTTGCGACAAAGACGCATAAAGAGTTTTAGGACTCACTGGAAACTTTTCTCCACAACTGTATATGCATGCTATTCTATTATAGATAAACATACTGTGTTTCTCCGTCTACACCTGTTTACCACGGTTCAAGCTCTAACAACACTCACCTGCTGTTTCTTGCTGACAATAGGAGGCAGCACAGGCCTGGAGCAGCAAGTTCTACTGGTTTTGATCCATGGGGATCCAAGAGTCCCAGGGAAACTGGGGGCTGTTGGGCTAGGAATACCCAGGGGACGAGCCCTGCCCCTGGGGGCCAGCCTGGTGGGAGTCTGGTACTTGACCTGCCTCAACAGTAACTCCATCTCATGGGGGGCTGGCCTGAATGGAGAATTGAAGACCCCTGGGCACTGAAGAAAAAAAGACCAAGAAAGCAAGAGGTTAGCCTTTGATCA